TTTTCTTTTAATTTATGATTTTCATAGGTGACATATACTTAGCCATTGCTCTCCATTATTTCCAAAAATATTTTTTTTTTCTCTCTTTTTTTCAATGTCACATTCGTCAATAAAATAATATTATACGTAAATCCAAAAATTTTCTTATTGTTTAACCACACATTCTTATCAAATCACTATTCCAAAATACAATTTTTTACTACAAAATGGAGCTCAAACAAACTTTTTAATTGCTAATTTTAATTCTATGACATATTGTGGGCCCCATTTGACACTGCTATTAAACAGCCAAAAGTTGATTTGAAAATTGAAGTTGCTTTTGAACATATTTAAATAATTTTTTGAAAATTTTGTCCATCTAAAAGAACTTTTAATTTCCTAATAGCTTTTCTACAAGATTCAAAAGTAAAAACAGAAACTCTGCCAAATAACCATTATGTAACATAACTTGTTAAACTACAATTCAATACTTACTTGAAACATATGATATTTTTCGACGATGTGATTTTGACCATGTGCAATGAACTTTGCCCTTGTTTGGGCTTCATTATGTTTTAAGGAAAAATATATTTTGGAATAGTGATTTTTTGGAGATTGTTTGGTTAAAAAAAAAAAAAGGAAAAGCTTTGAAATTAAATGTTATATTATTTTATTGAATAATGTGTAATTAAAAAGAAGAGATGGAAAAATATATTAAAATTAAAACGGAACCTTTGTACCATAATATATTATAATTTGATTAGTGTAATGTAATGGAAGATTATGTGTCATGTTATATTAAGTGACAATTCGTGGTATAAATTTTACTCATCATTTGCCACATAACACACATGTAACATAATCTGTCAAGGATTTGTGGATGTGTGACTCTCTCTCTATTTTTACTCGAGCCGAACCCGAGTTCTCACGAGCCGGCTTGGCTTGTTGGCATGCCTACTGCCAATATCCTAATTGATTCACAAAATCTTAATATGGTGAATATTTCGAAGTTGAGTCAGTTTACCTATTTTGGTAGCCCATATCCATCAACTTTTATTTGATTGAGGCTAGTTTCGGTTTTTGCTATTATAATATCTAATTTGTCTGGGTGGGCTATATAGCTTGTTTCCATGTTAAATTTGATAGGTTGGTTGCCGCTCTGAGAAATAGTTACATGGTGACTACTTTGCATCCTGTAAAGAAATCAGCTGGAGAAGGTATTTAGTCATAGCCTTTCCATGTTGGAATTAGCTTTTCCGCAAACTGACTGTCCCTAGTAAATTGATTATCAAACCTATGTAAGACGAGTATCACAGTTAGTGACGGACGTCTTAGTGTACTTGCTGAAGTTACTCGGCAGAGGGGAATGACCAAAAGAAGCTGATAGGAATGGCCTGAGCTACATCAGACCATGCTTTCGATGCAACTATTTCGGATGTTCTTGTTCGGAAAAGCCCTCATTGAGAAGCTTATAAGAGCACTCTTGCAACAGGACATTGGAAGTAGGGAATAATTCAAAACT